GCAGCCTCCGCCCAAGCCTCCCCCAGCTCGGCAGCCGCCTACCGAGGCTTGCAGAGTCCCGTGACAAGAGGGATAAACGTGCCCGACAGTTTAACGCCACGCAAACACACCCTCTGCTCTCTCGTGTCACTTCCCATTTACATAAGTTATAAATCAGAGGAGCAGGAGGAGGGAGTAAGTTGCTGGCTAATCCCGGCACACTGTAGAAGCTGCAACCTAAAAGCAAATGTGATCTCCCGGAACACACTCACGAAGGAGTTTCTCGCTGTTCTCAGTCTTTGCATGCCCCATTTTGCTTCCTCTGATAAAAATAACAGCTTGGCTTTTGCAACAGCAGAACCCACGAGAGCAGTTGCAGGGAACAAACTTGACACCTTTAAACCACGCTGACGGGTGGAAAGCAAACACCGAACTGCACGCCTGCCCAGCTCGCTGCTTGAGCGGTGACTCAAGCGTCCTAGAGCTGGGAGCTACTCTGGAGCAGTGGCAAGTGCTCACAACTCAAAGGTAGATTTTGTTCTGCTTCTGGCTCTTGCCTGAGGTCCCTAGTTCAACCAGTACAGATCAGTGTGATCTTCACAATGAGAAGAATGAGCTCCTCCACTGTACCTTGACACAGAAGCCTACTGGGGGCAAGTAGCTTGGTGCAATCGCTACGCCAGTGCCACTGTGCCGAGGTCTGAACCTTTCCTGCTCTCCAGCAGAAGCTGGGGGCATTCAGCAAAGCTTCAAGGACACCAGGAAGCGGCTGCAATATACCAGTGGGTATACTGGATGGCGGACCTCCTGCATACAGCCAGAACACGCACTGCTCTCAGCACAAGACACAGCATGTGAGCACGTGGCTGCTTACAACCGCTCCTTGGGACGCTCCCAAAACCCTCCCACAGCAAAGGGACTGCTGCTTCGCTACACCAAGCAACAGCAACCAAGGTTCTGTGGTCCTTTTTTCGCAAAAGCAGGAAACAAACCAGCATCCCAGGGGCTTACTGGAAGCTGGCACCACTGCCAACACCCGCCCAGCCTCTGAAAGGTGACTTTGCTCTGGACAGGGACAGAGTCACTGTTTACGGGGACGCGCTGCCAGCACAGTTTGTCTCCGTGCCCCGCGGCTGACAGGCACATGGCAGGAGGGGGACGAGCTGGGTAACCATTTATCGCGTGGTGGAGAGTCTCACGTCAGGGCAGCAGCATCTGGCTTTGAAACCCCAGTCAAGCCCCTGCCACAAGATTTCTCCTTGCTGCACAGATTCATTTTTGTGGTATTTTTAATAAGCACAAAGCTACCAGCGTAGCTTTAATTGACAATGAAAGCACGGAGTGTCTGTTTTTCTCTTTATTTGGAAAATCCCTTCCTCTGCTCTCAGCATACAGTTGGCCTAGCGCCCACATTCACCCTCTTCATTACTTCTGACCTTATTATTAATACAAGGAATAACGAAGTACAAACTGCACTATAAACTTTCTCTCATGCCCATCTGGGTCCAAAAAGTAACTTTTCTGGGACATGTCTGGTGCCATCCCAGGTCCCTCACCCGCAAAGAGGAGACATTCAGGGATTGTGAGAACAGCAACTCAGCAAAGTGAAGGAGATAAAGCATGGTCAGCAAGTGGTCGTGCTGGAAATGGAGGAAAGAAAATGCAGACCTAACACACACGGAAGTTTAAAGGGTAGAAAAAAGATTAGAAGGATCAGCAGG